ATTTTATAACTTCTTAGTTTGGAGCCTAATACTCTTTTTACAGTGTCCTCTAAATACACTCTAACTTAAAAGTAACAAATCTTTTCCTTAAATGACCTTTTTATTTTGACTTCACTTGAAAGAATTAAGTTCAATACCGTATCTGTATCCCACGTCTGACACCATGACTCAAGCTTAGCAGAGACAGATTCTGTACCAACCAGGGCGTAGAGCACAATCCACATAAGGAGGACCCCGTCCCCGACGCAGCCTTCGCAGGTTCGATGCCCAACCTGATGACCTTAGCCGCAGGTCTTCCTCTCTGTCATTAACCACTTTCCTGAATAACTATGCTCAAACAAAGGCTGCCTCAGCCAAAAACCCTTTGAAAAAAGAGATCCTTTATTAATTTACTTCTTTATTTAAAGTAAACTAAATGATTTGAGTAAGACTGACCCAAATCTGTCATCTTAAACATACCTAATAAATTTGTTAAAAAAATTAACAAACCGAGTTTGATGACCACAACATGTTGAATTGGTTAAACTTAATTGAATTGCTTGTTACCAATTGAAGCAATTAAATTAAGTTGGTTCAATTAATTTATTTTTAGAGTGCATCAGGCTCTTTAGTCAAATATTTATATCCAGTTGATTCACCAAACCCTTTTATGTAGCTTCTGGAAAACATTGATGTTTAATTTGCAAACCACATAGAAATGTTGAACAGCAGTTCGTTGACAGTGATAGTAATTTGTCTTTATGTGAGATTTTGTGATCCACTCACGTCTCCCTATATTTGTGTTAAAGGTTAATTTGATAAGATGAGGAAACACTCAGGGCTTGTTTCTTCTCTTCTTTATTTCTCTGCTTTAGTTTTGCTATTGTTGTTTGCACACAGTCAGTTTTGTCTCTGCTGTCGCTCAGTAGGGGTCGCTCTGTCTGAATGATGACGGGTTTCCTATGGCTAATATCTGGAAGGTGACTAACTCTTTCAAAGAAAAGCAACTCAAAATATAATAATGTTCCATGTTTAATTATATTTTCTGTTATGTTCCTTTTGGTGTTCATAACAATGAATTAAAAGCAAGATTCTTCTGTCATTTTGTAATAATGTCATTTTATGCCTTTTTTTATGTCTTTATATGACCAGAATTTGTACTTTATTTTAAAATATTAAGTCAGATGATCTGATTAATTACTCAGTATGTAAGTAGTATTTTCATGAAATACTTTTTCACTCCTACTTGAGTCATTTATTAGACAGATACTTCTTAGATGTACTTGAGCAAAAATGTGTTGAAGTGCTACTCCTTCTTGAGTTACATTTTTGGCTGCTCTCCTCCACCTATATAATCATAACCCTATAATCGTTCCTTATGAACGATTATTTGGAAGCCAAAGGGGCTTAGTTATGCAAAATCAACTTTATTTTAGTTGTACTTCATGTCATAATGTTATAAATATACCTGAAATGTTGCCCTGATTCTTTCAGGTATATGTTTGAGAAATCCTTAAATTCTCATATGAGAATTAGATTTTATATATATATATATATATATATATAAACTGCCTGTGTTACACTATGATCAGATAGTTTACAATCTTTTCAGCTCTCCTTAATATTTTATTTTATGTCTTATCCTTCCCTGGCTTTGGCTCCTCTGTCAGTGGACTTGGTCTCTTCTGTTACCCTCTGGCTGATGTCACTGCTCTCAGTGTTTAAGTCGTTCATCAAAGCTCAAGTGTCTGTAGACTTGCAGCCATACATGGACAGAGACAGCAGCAGGGTGAGCAGTACAGAACCAGCGCTTCACCCAGCTGTCACGGAACCTGACCATATTCAAATATCCATAATAAGTCTAAAACTAGCAGCATTGCTGCTAACTCAACCATCCACTGGTTAGTCAAACACATAACTACTGCAGAGTTTACAAAGCAAGACATGACATGTCAGCGTTGCTCTGAGCACAGAAATACAAAGGCACATCTGCTGAGGCAGTTTCATCCAAGCTTAAATTAGGCTGCATCCCTTTAGGTGTGCTAAATAAGAGACTGAGCAGCACACTGACTGAACTGTCTGGCTGGTGTTAATTTACAAACAAGACTGCTTCAAATGGCGAGAAATTCACAAGAAATAAAACCCAGAGTACTTGAAAGGGTTTGGGAGGAAACCAGGCTGTTAAAATGAAGCAGCACACAGCAAACTGTGTCAAAACTGAGCAAATAATGGAGTAAGAAATAATGTCAGAGTAAAAACTTCAAGTAAAACATCTTAGGAAAGTTTCTGGTTGCCTGTAGGAAACTTAAGCAGCCTGTCGCTTTTTCTGATCTCCAACACGTTTTACTTGGGGTTTGGTTAATGTTGACTGACATTACCTGGAAAAGTCATTTCCAGGTAAAGTTAGTGATTGATGGCTGGGAAGAATCCTGACATGTACTCAAACTGCAACTGCAGTTAACCACTGTCTTGTTCACTTGGCTCAGACACAGAAAAACAAAGCTGCATTTCCTGTTTAGGTGGTTTTCTCTCTCCCTGTCACCACTTATCAAGCGATATAATTATGTTATAAAAAGTCTTTTTAAATCTAGAAAACAGGTTGGGTTCATCTACAACATAACCTACAGGTGTGTTTATGTCGTTGATGCTTTCCTGATCGCCATGCTGTTTTAATGTGACAGAGTTCTTTCAAATGATCTGCTTTGAAAAATAATTGATAGGCTGATTATGATGTGTGTTTCAAATAATCAGTACTTCTGCCCGTAAAATGTGATAATTGCCCTAAAACAAGCAGCTTAGGCTGGAGACACAGTTTCTTTTTGGTCTAAAAAGGGAGGAACTGAGTCCATTGAAAGGACAGCCTACTGTTTGGGGCTTTTCCTCTCATTTCCACACCTACAGATACATCAAAAGGACTGAAGTGACTTGAAATGTCAGGCACTTGGTTTCTGAGAGGCAGAGAAAGACCTTTGTCATCTGGTTATTTTACAGTTTATTCAGCTCGTGAGCATCGTAGTTTTCTTCAGCAGTGCATCTCTCTTGTACAGTGGCCCTGAGATCACAAACTCAAGTTATGTTGAATGACATAAAGGATGATCTGAATTTATTGTTGACATGCTGAACATTAAGCATTCTGTCATTCTGTTGTAAAAATTGTTCTTGTTTGGCTCCCATTTTCTGTTTATTTTTAAAAAGCCAAAGAGGAGAGTGGCTTTGAATGGTTATATTCTAACTGGATTTTCTCTACTTTTCCAATTGTTTTCAGTCTTTTCAATGCATAGAAGAAGAGCACTTGTTGTCTGTGACTATGGGGCTCAGCACTGCCCCCTGTCAGTGAGGCATGGGACTTTCTGTTTCACCCTGCACATTTTCACTGCACATTTATGGCCGATCAGAAAAACTAACTGCATGCTGGTGTTTCTGTTTACACTGAGGTCTTCATCTCTGGTGGTGGTCTTTTTGGGAAACAGGTCACACACTTTGCTCTTCACTACCCAGTGGTTTAAACATCCAATCCTGCTCTCCCTAACAGACACATGGGCTCACACAGAACAGTCTTATCAGACCTCTGGCTAAAATACTAGAGATAATTACAGGAAAGAGCTCTTTTCCTCAGAATGCTGATTACACTCCCTCTTCCTCTACTGGAAGTCAACAGTGTCCCTTGGATGTATATGTAATCACACGTGAACATGTTACCATAGCAACATAGAAGAAAGGGTTGTTTGAGTGAGTCATCCAACCGAAAGAATGATGTGGATACTAGACATGTGAAAAAAAAAAAAAACCTTCTCCTGAGTTTAACATTTTTTTCCCATGATGTAGTATAGTATTGCATGAAAATCGATTTCTATTGTTAGAGTATCATGAAAGTTTTGCAACATGTAAAATATGTGAAACTGTCACTCTTCAGCTGAAGCTTGAAAAATGGTAGTAATATCAAATCTTGTGATGATGGGGTAAGTGAATGTTTCCCCAATTTGTCTTGTTACAGCCCTGAATTTTCAGGAGTTTTTTGAGATTTTATGCGACAGACCAACACAACCTTTATAAAACATGATGGTGGCACCATAATGAGTGAAAAAATTATAAATCAGAAATTATATTTGAATCCTGAGTTGTTTTGAGGTTTGTTTAGTATTTTGTGTTCCTCAGTCTCTTACTTTGATCAGTATTCTTTTAGTTTTATTTTAGTTCAGACCAGGGGTGTCCAAAGTGGGTCCTGGAGGCCCGGCATCCTACATGTTTTAGTTCTCTCCCTGGTTTAACGCACCTGGATCCAATGATGGCTCGTTAGAGGCCTAAGAAGAACATTGACATGCTGAACAGGTTGTTACTACCAGGGAGAGAACTAACACATGCAGGATGGGGTGTGCTGTGGTGGTGCAGGGGTTAAGCACAACCCACATATGGAGGCCCTAGTCCTTGACACAACCGTCGCAGGTTCAGTTCCCAGCCTTGGCGACCCTTGCTGCATGTCTTCCCCCCTCTCTCATTTCCCACCTCCTGTCAATTAACTATCAAATAAAGGCCCCTAGAGCCAAAAAAATAAAACCGTCAGATAAGGCTTCTGCATGTTGATGTTCCCGCTAAATCCTGAATATACCTAATTTGGGTTGTCTTGGGCTTTTTATCGCAGCCTGTGGGGTTTACTCTGACTGGGAACGAGACTACAACCTGTTGAATGTGACAGGTAGCCAATCAGAAAGCGCGGTGACGTAAGAACAGAGGGGAATCCCAAACAGCTGATATATCGCGCAACTGAGAGTCCGGTGGATATCAGAGATGATATGTGGAAATGTTTATTATTATATGTAAAGGTCGTTATTATATATGTTTATGTTTATTCAGTTAAAAATGTTAACTATGAAAAAACATATTCACCTCCAAATCATAGTGCAGCAAATAGAGCGGCTGCTCCCGCTGTCTTTTATCCACCGCCTTTTCTTTTTGTTACATCTCTTAAAATGACTCCACAAACTGTCACTATTGAACTACATCGTCATCCGTGTTTGTGTAGCGGTTGGTAACAGGAAGTCAGAACCACACCGGAATCAGGATTCAGGATAATTTTATTCCTGTTCAAAACAAGAACATTTTAAACACAGCAGCTCCTGGGCTCCGGATTCTCCACAAACACCCTAACCAACCAAAAGAAAAAAAAAAGAAAAAATAACCACGTTGATGCAGAAAACTTGATGGGTGTCACCAATGTGGGAGACAAATGCCCAGCATAGTGCTGCGCTAAACATGAACAGTTAAACAACAATATAACATATTTTTTTAGAACGTTTTCAATATTTTAATACACAAATGAAAGACAACTCTGTACACTTACCTCTCCCCAGCGCAGCTTGGCGCGAACTGAGGGTGGCAGCGAACACACAGGATATAACGCAAAAACAGGAAGTAAGAAAATAAAAGCTTCCCCATCAAAATAAAATACAATTTAAAAAACAAAGGAAAACAAATATTCATAGATGAGGGTGGATTTTTACACACTAGGAACCAAAAATAAAAGCAAAATAAAACAGAAATAATATATAACAGACATGCCAATTCAAAGAAAATTAGTTTTGAGAAGGTTCATAAAGAAAAATAAAATAAATAAATAAAATTAACTCTGCTACATTTGGTCATTCTAAATTCCCGTATGCTATGTTGGGGGTTTTACTAGATTATCCTCTGGAATCGGGATGTTCGTGTGGTGTGTTCCTCCTGCCTTGGACACACGAACCGATCGAACCTGTTGTACTTTTATCAGCTCTGTGGTCACAGAGGTTTGGAGAATCGGCCGACAATCCTTAAATCTTGCCGTCTAAACCAGACTTAAGACTCACAAGCTCTACTCATCTCCTCTCGACCACTGCCCAAACGCTCTGACTCTGGTCGCTATGGTAACATTTACATATCCCTTCAAAATAAGATACAGATGCGCCACAAAAACGAGCATTTTACTTTAGTGAAAATTTTAACTCACGACAATGACTAGCGGGAGCCCTGAGCTTGTTTCTCTGCAACGAGACGGTCCCATCTGGGAGTGATGGAGACAATGACACCCGAAGTGTTGCTTATATCCACAGCCTGCTTGGTCTCTACGTGGTGAAGCAGTTTGAAGCTTCATTGCCTCATTAGCAGCCGGTCGCCGCATGTTACACAGAGCGGCTTGTAATGTTTGACTCACCTACCGGTCCGGGATAAATCCATCCTCCCGTCTCTTCTCTGGGCCTTTTCCCCTTTGCAAAGAAACTTTCCAAAGACATCTAATCCTTTTCTTACTCATTTTGCTGCTTGTGGGCTCAGTGTTGGCACGCAAGTAACCGAGAGAATCCGGTTAAAGGATTTTCAAAATAAAAGATCCTCCAGACTCGCATAATACATAAAATGGAAATATTTAATTATTTCTTGCGCGGCCCGGTACCAATTGGTCCACGGACTGGTACCGGTCCATGGACCGGGGGTTGGGGACCACTGCTCTAAATGACGTGACACAGGAGCAGAGGTTCATCTTCCAGCAGGACAATGACCCAAAAAATATTCATGTGTTAGAATGTCTTGGTCTAAGTCAAAACATAAACCCAACTGAGAATATTTTATAAAACTTGAAAACTTATGTTCTCTTCAATTGTGCATGTCTTTTGCTAATTTTACACCAAGATCCCAATAAAATACACAGAAGTAATGTGACAAAGTGTCATCACAGCTTGGTGATGCATTAGAGCTTCCGCCCAACGCCAGGAACCGTGTGCAGTAATTCTGACCGATTCAACCTGTATTCAACGTATTGTTTTGAAACGCTTGCTTTTCTGTCCAAACCTACATCTGTTACTGCCTTTACTGCTTCCAGCTGAAGGTGAGAAGGAATGTCAACAAACTAACAGCTGGGACAAAAGCATACAGTAGAAATGTGAAGAATTAGTCTAGAAGCAGACATCACTGAAGTCCTGGCTGTGTGGTGAGCTGCAGCCTGTTTCACTAGCTGACACTCTACTGGTCTGAACATTGAAATAAGTGAGACAAACCCCCTTGCCTGCCATTCCTAAATAATTGTATACATTGTATTAAAGCTGTGGCTTGTCCTTTTGTAATGAATGACAGATTAATATTTGTATTTTGCTCTGTTCTGGCTGTCAGAGCCTCAAAAAAAGTTTCATGAACTGAGCTCAGGGGGAGGCTTATCCAATGACTTTGAGCATTTTTAACATTCATTCTGAATTAATCAGCTGTTTTTAAAACGAAACATTTCCTTTTATTATTTGCCAAAGTGGATTGTGCATTAAAAATGTAGACTTTAAGGGAAAAGGCCCCACTGGACTCCAGAGGAATTCCTGCCAGCCTTCAGCTAGTTAAGCTTTTAGTGTGTTGCATAAGAGGAAAAAGTGAAGATGAACAGCTTCATCTCAATTGGAGTGGAATCAGTTGGTAAATTACTGCAACGCCTCAGTGGACAGAATCTCTAAGCTGCATAATTTGTGTTTATTTGGAAATCCAAGAGAAGGTCCCAGATTAGTCCAAAGCAATAATATAACATAATATTGACCAAACCAATATATTGTCCACATCTTATTATTACCACAGAGGTGATGCAAAGATGTATTTTTTTTTCAAAGCCAAAGTATAATTTATTCCACTTCCTTTTGTTTATGAATTCCTCTCATTCAAAATCCCAAAAAATTCTCATCTGTATTATATGTAGCAACGGACATGTTTGTTTATGAATTTTTTTATGTCAAGGTATTTGACTTTTGCATTATTTGTGTTTGTAAAGGCAACAGGTATAGGGCATTAAACTGTATTCATCTTCATTAATGTGTTGTCACATTTCACTAAAATGCAGGTTTGTTATCCTGTTACCTTGTCACTTCCATTCCATTATTATTGTCAAGTAACATACATTTAGAAATTGTGCTTTATGTAATATTTCATGTTCATTGTTATCATTTGGAAACTAGCTACTTACTCTTTAGATGTTTGAGTGTAACTGTATCAGCTCAACCAGTTTGGCAGCTAAAACTTTAGATTCTGTGAATCATTTAAAGAAGTAAAGTTGATCCCCTGGTTCTGTTCTGTGCCTGTTAGTGATTATCTGTGTTTATATGCACTAAGGAGACATGAGAGGATATTAAATCTCACAACAGACCTCTGAAAAATTTATGTCATGTAATTTAGGTTTTTAATGGCATTTAAAGTTTCAAGGATTTTTTTTATCAAAGTAAAAAAGTAAAAAAGTCTGTGTTTTATTTTGCAACACAAAATAAAACACAGACCAATAAAAAGATACCACCATCAAACCTTTCATATACCTTGGCCTTCTTTCCTCATGTTCTGCTGCCCTAAGTTGTTTAGTTGTTTCCCGCCATGAGGACGTTGTGCCTCAGCTGTTTTGAGTTCTTGATTATGTTTCTTGTTTCCTATGCCTGCTGTTCAGTGTTGGATCGTAGTCGGACTAGCAGCTATCGCAGCATTAGTGTTTCTCAATCGGGATACCTACCTGTGTAGTCTTAATAAAGTAGACTCATTTTTTCCTACCTCGGCTGGTCTTTCTTTGATGTCCATGAGGGCTAAACCTGACATCTTTTATGCAAACCTACTGATAACATTTTGCTACTAACTTTCAGCTGTCTATAAAAGCAGCAGCTTTTGATTCAGATGTTGTTTTTTATGACAATTCTCAGGGAGTGGAGACATTGTTGTGCCTTTTTAACAGTTTGTCGTTTGCTGTGATGAGTCCAACCACAGTAGTGTCATCTGCAAACTTAATAATTTGATGGAAATGTTGGAGTACGGTGTAGAGTGAGTCGGCCCTCTTTTCAGCTCACAACACAGCCCTGTGAGCTTGTTCTGATTGGAATAGAGGAGGAAACATGAGCGCTGACTCAGACAGGCTGAAGACGATTGCTCAGAAAATCTTTATTCCAGCCACAGTTTGCAGATGGGAGACAGACGGTCAACAGTTCGTTGATTAGGATGTGTGGGATGATGGTGTTGAAAGCAGAAGAATAATTCACAAAGTGTCTTCTAAGTTTTTAGTTTTTTTTTCTTACTGTTTACTGCTGGTTTGATAGAGGTGAGCCAACGCTAAGCTGATGTTGGCATCTGGAGCAATGTAAATAGCCGTCAAGATGGCTGCAGGTGTCTCTCTTGGCAGATAGGACGGCCTGCATAATGATGGTTCTAGATGATGGGAGCAGTGGCTGTCTATCACCAGGTTGTGTGTTAGGGTTAGGGTTCTGCCATGTCTGTGTAGCATCTTTCTGACATAAAGCAGTTTCCTTGTTCTATTATTTGTGCCCCAACATTAGAGTAGGTGCAAGAATGAGAATGCCAACTATCCTAATCAGGGTTTCCCCAGTGTATTATAAACATGGCAGGTTGCCAGGCTTTACTTTAAATAGGTTTTTTATACACCAGTTACAGTGATAGCAAAGACAGGTTTATACTTTCTGTAATGACATGGGCGTGAGGCCGGGCACGCCCTATCCCACCGTCAGCTCCCTGCATGTCGGCTGCAGTGTCTGTGTGGTCATGCAGCTCTGAAGTTTACTTGGTGTGGCTCGCACATGCCGCCTTTCATTCAAACTGGACAATTTGGAAGGTGCTCTAGCTGGAGGTTCCAGAGGGAATTGCATGATTGTTATTAAGAATGAAATGACTTGAAAGCCATTCTCATGTTGATGCATTACAATAACGTCTCCATAAAGGAGTCGTCTCTTCTTTCATGTTCCATCTTCCTGTCGATGTCGTGTTACATCCAAGGGTTTTGTTGCACAGCAAAAATCACAACCATGGCAATAAACGGTATGCTTTTTCTTGCCAGCAATAAATGGTGCAGCTGGCAGCCAACAGTGTGCTGCACCGCTTAGTAAACCAGAGATTCATTTAAATCCCCCAATTCTGCACTCTAACAGAAAGGCTTACAGACATTTATAAGCATCATTTAGGGATCGACACCAACAGTAAAAAAAATTACAAGTGGACTTTGCTGCAGGTACAAAGTTTGCCACCTTTCCTCTGCTGTCCCTTGACCTGTATAGTTCAGATATCACCAGTGAAGCCGTGAGTGTATGTTTCACTGCAGATGACTTTATGAAATACTGTATTTTATGGAAGCAGAGAAAGTAACAAGTGTAAGCAGCAGCCCTGATATCAGTGATGGTTATTTTCATTGGAACAACAATGAATTATTTAATCTGGAAAACAGTTAGCATTTTCAGATGGAAATTATGAACAAACCTCACAAGACATATGGTCTTATGACTACAAATTGAGTTAGACATTAGAATTAGAATATTGACTATCAGAATATTGACTATTAGAATAGATGACTATTCCAATAGAAAATAAAATACCATTTGCTTTGCTTTGCTT